TTTTTTTTTTGTGGGTTCAAGTTCATTGTCATCAATAATTTAAGTGCCATTAAGAATGATGAAAAGTGCTTCTATTTTTTTTGTTTTCTCATTTCTTTTTGCCATTGAGATGGCTATTATTTTCTGTTCAACTGGCATTTAGATAATTGCAACATTTAGATATCTGCATATCAAAGAAGTACCATATGTTATCATGAGAATATAACCCTAAACGGATTTTGGAATCTAACCCTTAACATGTTACAGTTTCTCAATACATAAACAATGTTACATTTACCTTGTGTTAAGGTTAAGTTGGGAGCTATAATTTTCATTCCATTCTAACAACGATAACGTGATAGCTTTGGGTGGGAATGCATTGATGTAGCACAAAGATGTCAAATCAATTGATGTGGTACTAGAATGTCAAGTGAATGTAAGTTGGTAATCAATAGAAGATATTAGTGTGTCTGAATGGAGGACCTCCTCTATAAATATTATTTGAAATATAAAAGTAATATAGTCATAAATATGAAGTTATACATCTATTATCATCTTATCATCTTTTATTTTAAAATAAAATTGGACAAAGTAATTTTTGTATGCATACAATCACCACATTTGCTTGTAATTTACATGCAATTTATATTAAATCAATGCACGATGACATGGCAAGCTATGCCATTAAGTTTTCTTAATATTTTGATTATATTTAGAGGTTATAAGTTGATATAAATTGTGTTAGAGATCCTCCATTTATAACTCCATAGATTTCAAGGTAGAGGAGAGAGTGGTCCCCCTATGTAGGAGGTGAGGGAAAAATGCAAACTCCACGATTCACCTGTTGTTTAAGACTTGGATTGATAGAAAGTGAGAAGGCAAAACATAGGAGCTCGTGCAATTTAGTGTATCTTATTAAATTATAACCTTTCATATAATTTTACATATTTTATTATTTCTTTGATTTAACAATTTTCACGATATAAATCTTATAAATGGCGACGAAATTCTACATTGTATGGCTATATTTTGAAATACAATTGTGATTATGATTTTTTTCTTCTAAATATAACTTGATGGCAAATTTATTATTATTATTATTTTTGGTAAGGTTGAGAATGATATTGATCTATTGTTGAGATTGTGGTCGCTATCCAGTTATTTTTCAGGCAGTGTTCTTTGGTTCTTTGTGTTCTTCCACAACTCTTTAAGACTATAGTATCACTTCACCAACTAGTGTTAGGAGTTTTAGTTAGAGGTTGTCACGTGACGAGCAGTGGTGCAAAGTTGCGAGCAAAATTGATCATTGAAAATGTGCTGCATGTTTAAGTGATCCTATCACTTTCATTTGGCAAGGCTAGAGAGGGAATTTTTTTGCATATTTTTTAATTATTGTTGTTAATAATGTTTTAGATCTTAACCAAATATTTCTTTACCAAAATTTTTTTCATTCAACTATGAGCACATTCAACTATGAGCAATTTAGCATTAAGTGAAGAATTTAGAAATGAATTTCAAAGAATAATGCAAACTTTCAAGTAAATAAAAGAAAAAAAAAAACATGAAATACAATCAATTGAAATTTAACATTATAATTTGAAATCGAGCAAAGTGTCAAAAAGGACCTTTAACGCTTTATAGAGGGTCATTTTAGTCTCATAGTTTATAAAATTGTCAATTTAGTCTTCAGACTCTTTTAATATGGGTTTTAGCCCCCACTAAAATATTCTAGGGACTAATTTGACAATTTTATAAAATTTGGGACTAAAATAACCCCATCTAAATGGTCAGGGGACTAATTTGACACTTTTCTCATTTGAAGTTAGATTGACAACCTTATATGTGGATCAAAATGTTTATACTAGAGAAGTCTTCACCTTTTAAAGAAATATTTTTTGCTAATACTATGATACTATTTTTGGCAGATTTTCACACATAAATTAGGTTCAATAATAATTTTATTTTTGAAACCCAAACAACTCAACACGGATACATAAAAAATAAGCACGTACAATTTGAAAGATAGACGATCTCTCCCAAATCCTACTATTCGAGAGGTAGGAAGTCTGTCCCATACCCTAATTGTAAGACTCACAACCACAATCTCATGCACACCCTTAACTTTAAACATATTAGCATTATTTATATTGAACAATAATAAAAGACAAAAAACTAGTTTGTCATTAGGCTAATAAAAGATAAAATTACCCTCAGACCAGATCGGCGTAACAATACTCCCCTAAAAAAAAAATGCATTGTTCTCAAGATAGATGAAATGAAATTGTTGCTGGATTAAACTCCTCGGCTTCCT